TGTTGAGGGACCCCTTCTCCCTGCTGCTACCTCCTCCCTTCCCCCTACCCGTCATGCTTCTGTGCTGCTCAGTGCCTCATAGAATGGATTTCTGCTGCCTGATCTGGCTTTAGGTGCTCAATTTTAAGACAAGGCATTGTTTTTCCCATGTTAAATGAGGGGAAGAGAGAAAACATTCACTTGGAATTGAGTAAATAAGATACTTCACACATCAAAAGATTGTACAATATGAAAAATAGACTTGTACCAAGTTCTTGAATAGTATTAGTAGCTGCTAGATATTGCTGTAAGCAAAGCAAACTGTTACAAGAAATGATTGCCTTCCCCTGGCTTAAAGTCTGCTTGTCAAATGCATTCTGACATTGACAGAGTCCTAATTAATGCAGTATTGATCTGGCTGCTTGGCCTCCCTAGGCGCACAATTCTCGTAATCTGCTGAAGTTTTCTTCAGGACCTCAGCTACTGTACAATGCTACCACAATCTAGGTGTCTCTGCTGCTTCCCTAAAAAGCATATATGGTCTTCAGATATGTCAAGTGTCAGACTCAAGGTTGAAGACGCTAATAAAGGGCTAGAGCAGGAGTGTCCAACATGTGGCCTGTAGAACCATTCCGCCTGGCCCACTGGTAGTTGAGAAACACTCCAGTGGCCATGCCTCTCAACACAAATTTTGGGGTCCCTGGACCCTGATGGACACAGCCTTTGGCAGCAGAGGGTGAACAAGGGCTGTGCAGATACTGTGCTTGCTTGCCTTGCTGCCACCTGCCCCTGAACTAGTGCAGCTGCCCACATCTTCTCCCTCCCTGCCCCTCCCTGTGCACATCTGCTTCCTCATCAGATGGCCACTTGATGCCTGATTCTGTGCTGCTGCCTACTCCCATACCCATTGCAGCTGCTGCTGGATCCATGGATCCAGTCTGGAAGGAGCATTGTGCTCTTGATCTGGCTCAGTAAGTTTGACACCCCTGGGCTAGAGGAAGCTGCTGACAGGGTTGTCCCTGGTGGGAGGGGTGAATCAGGACAACCGCCCTGGGCCCTGTGCTTTGGGGGGCCCCGCAGAGCTGGGCAGAGCAGCCATGGCAAGTCTGGGCTGCCACTGGCTTCACGTCTGACTGCTCAGCACCCCGTCCCCTGCCACTGAATCTGCCACTGGCTTCCTTGTGTCCAGGGGCGGGGCCCTGCATCCGGTCTTTTGCCCTGGGCCCTGCACCCTGCTTGGGTCACCTCTGGCTGATGAATAGCCTATTTACACTACAAAATTGTAGCTGTTGTCTGACACAGACATCCACAAGCCATTGTTGAAACTTACTGTCTTACTAGTGTAAATAGTCAGAAATTGAGTGGGGGGGGCGGTATCCACACACACACACACACACACACACACACACACACACACTTTCCCTCTATCCCTTCTTCCCCAGCATCACATGTTAGTTTCTATACTACTGGGCCTTATAGTTAAAACTCATCTAATGGCTACTCTTGAGCATGCTGGAGATTAAGGGCTCAAGAGCAAGTGCGGAGCTACAAGCCTGGAGCTGCCTCAGAGGTATATTTCCAGGTTAGAGTATGTCTGTGGGTGTGAATGAGTGGGGCATGCTTGATTCCTTCACCTGCCACCACAACAGTACACTAACCCTAACTAGGCAGCGTGATCTGATTTAACTGCTGGGTGGGATTGCTAGCTGTGAAGTCAGTAACAGAAGAATTCAAGTTCTGGAAGGAATGAAGGACAAGTTGGGAAAGGAATGAATGCATCAAATAAGGGTGCCATTGTTTTCCATGCTATAACTAAAGCTAGTCAAGATTCTTTCAGTTTCTGCTAGATAATGCCGCCTTTGCAAGTTTGAAATCTTCATGGGGGAGGGAATTTTATTTGGGGAAATCAAATAACAGCTCCCGTTAAGAAGGGTCTTCTCAGTTTCTCCGTATCTCTGACAGCAAAATTAACAAGAGACTTTCCACTTCCCTTCTCTTTCTCTGACAAGGGGGAGGGGGAATGTTGTTTTCATGGGAAGACTTCTATTTTGCTGTAAGCTCTAATGTTTTCAGTGCTGAATAATTCACCCCCATATAGCTATACTGGCAAAGAAATACTGACTGCTATAAAATTTGTTTCTGTAAATAAGGAGTGGGCAAAATTTGGCCTGTGGGCCATATCTGGCCCACCAGTTGATCCTATCCAGTCCACTGGTCACCATCAGGAGCCTCAGGAGGGAGAGCTGTGCCCTGCACCATGCTGCTCTGCTCTGCCACGGCCAGACCAGCGGTGGTAGCGTCTTACGGCAGGCGGATGGAATGGCTACTTGGTGCTCTGCATTGCTCCCATCTGTGCAGGCACAGCTGCTGGCAGCAGGAAGCTGGGTGGGGAGGAATTGCCCACCTCTTCTCTAAATCTTCAAGAGCATTCAAAAACATCAAGCTGCTCTAACATCCAAAATATCTGAATAACGAACCAGCTAAACTAAACCTGAACAAACTGGTGTGTTGGTTTCATTTTTGCAATAATGTGCTTCTACATCCAGGCAGTGAGGAACCTGGGAGCATTTGAAATAGTCACAGGAAGTTAGTAGTAAATGATGGAGATGGGGGGACACATGCCTGAGAGAGAGAGAGACTTTTAAATAGAGCCAAAGAACCAAGGCTATAACTCTGACAGTTCAGATTCTACTCAGAGCTCAGGTGGCCTTGTTCATTGCACCTCTCCAGACTTTAGTATGAAAAGGGGAGTTCTGGCGAAGGGGAAAAAGCCACGCTGGAAATGTTGAGTTCTTTGTTCATTTGGCGGGGGTTGACTGTAAGATGCTGTTTAACCTGCTGAAGAGGCCTAGAATTCAAGTAATCGGTGCTGGCAAGATTCACTAATAGGATAACTACTATGTGCTAAGAGCTGTTTTAGTGAACATACATGTCAAAGCCTACTTCTCTTATTTTGGAACATGGGCGTGTCTTTGTCATCTTACGGCAGTGTTGTTACTGTACTGTGCTTAAAGCATGGTGCAGTAACCACCCATGCTATGCTGTGCGTGCGGTGCATGGTTAGTTTTAGCCTTTACTTTGCTGTAGCGGTGTGCTAAAATGGGGGCACGCACTGCTACAGTGAAGTGGCTGCCAGTCGCATGTAGACTCACACGATCACTACGTCACCGTAGCGCGTCATACAGCAACGTAGTGCATTGTTATGGTGTAATAGGGCGATGTGTAGATGTGTACTCTATTGGACACAAATGAGCTTTCTAAATTCCACTTTCCTGTCCAGCACTCCTCTAAAGAGTACTGTATGTGGATTTGTGTCCTGCCTTGCATCTTATCTAGGCAAACAAACCATATGTGAACTACTTACTACACTTGTATCTTTTTTATTTTTATACCCATTCAACTTCAGCTGATCAGACTGCCTGATCTAATCCCTGTCCTAAACTTCTTGCTAACACAACAGTAGCTGAATTCAGTGTGAGAACTTATGGTAATTCTAATAAGTTTTCAGACTAATGTGTACACAAGAATCCACAACTTTGGGAAGGGAAGCCAAATTCAGCTTAAATGGAAGTATGTGAAATTCCAACAGCACTTATTTATGGCAGAAATGTGTTTTGCCCCAGAGTTAGGGGAGCTGTTTAAATAGTAAGATGTCCCACAAGCTCAGTCTTACCAGGGCATAGATATCTAGGAAAGATGCAGTGTTAGGGCTCTTGCAAGGCTGGTAGCAGCTGAATAGGTCAACTTGTCAAAATAAAATTCCGCATAGCCAGGTTCTGAGTAATTTGGGGTTTTTTGTTTTGTGTTTTTTAAGGCTTCAAAATAAGCATCAAGATGGAATGAACACAACATACTTGAACAAAAAACCCTAACTTTTTTTGCCATGCAATACAAGCCCTTTGTGTGCAGTTATTTGAGTGCTTGTGACCCAGTGCTTTAAAGCCAGTGCATCAAAGCTGTGGGATGATGGAATGAATTGCTCAACTGTAGGTCAATACCCTTACAAATAAGTTTCCTGAAACTGGAATTAGCCACCTTGTTAACAGATAGCAGTCTTACTGGAATTGTGACTGACAGGTCCATGCCCCACCCAGGTAAAAAGGTAGTTGGAAAGAATCACTAGAGGATGCCAACTGAGTAGTCCAGAAGGATAAAGATTTGGGCTGAACCTTTGTTTGTATTGGTAATCTGTATTACCAATACAGATTGTGTTTGTATTGGACATTAAAAATAAATAACAACAGTCGGCCTCCAGGAAGGAGGGATTGTTTAAACTATGTGGTTGTACAAAGTCTTGGAATAAACTAGGAAGGTCACCTGCTCACAGAGATCCATTTTAAGCCTGAAGAAATAATTCAGTAAAGAACAATTCTACAATGCTTACATTATAGAATACAGGGCAAAATCCTGGCTGCATTCAGGTTAGTAAGAATATTTACTTTGACTTCAGCAGAGTCTCTAAATATGCCTGGAGTCATTGATGCTATAGGCAGCTAGTGGAAGGATAATCCTATTTATACCATTAGTGTGTGTGTGTGTGTGTATATATACTTAAATTGAAGCTGCATACACCACTCTCTTTTAAGCTACTATCATCCAACCTTTGTTTCACTTCTCAGGACTATCCACTTTCAACACCTGTCATTCTCGGCACGTTTGGCTTGATTTGTGTTTTTTAAATTGCAGCCTTTTTATATAAAGCCTCCTAAATTTTCATCTTCCTGGATTAATATCTGAGAATGCTTTACATTATGGGAGAAAAACGGTACTGAGAACTCCAGTTCAACTACATGGTAGGGTACCGCAGTAGTAACCTCCTAGTCATAGTCTGTTTCTTGTACATCCCAAACTCCCATGGACTGCGCTGTACTCTAAATACGCAAGCTATGTAAATGTATTATCTGGAATTGGAATGACTTGTGTCCACAAGTAGTTTTAGGCATGTATGTACAATCTGGGCCTCTTAAGAGGTGAAGCACAACCCATGTAAAAGCATTGGAGGATTTTTATCTTTGTGCTAAAAAACCTACATTGTTGCCTTGCATTTAATCCTGATGCAAATATTCTTTGGAAAGGATGTAAACAACTGTGCTATTTCAGTATAGCTAACTTTTTGATTCTGCTTGTTAGCATAGATTCTGGGAGGATAAACATCTCTGAAAATGGTGAAGATGGTCAGCTGTTGTGAGAGCCATTACAAGTGCACTGACTGGGCTGTGTGCTATGTTCCAAGTTAGACAGGATATGGTCTCCAGCCACAGCCAGTGATGTCGAAGTTACCACCTCGCAAAAAATTACCTTTTCATTTGTTAAGTCAGTCTAATAAGGAGTTCTGGTTGTAGTTGACACTGGTAACTTAATATCAGTAATGAGATTAATGGTAAAATAATTCCAATGTATTTAAATCACACTTGTTTATAAATTATTCTCCTGAAAGGAGAAGCATAGTGATACATTATTTTTCACCTGCAAATTACATCTGTCCAATCTGTTAAACTGATGGCTCCATTGTGAACGCTTCCATAGATTGAAATGTGAAAAGCACCCCAGTTCAAAAGCAAGTGTTTTTTCTGGACTTAGGCACATTCTTAACTTTACAGTAGAATTACTTTCCTGAATGTGGATGAGTTTGCAAGTGTTCTGAATGGAGGTCTGCATGACCAGCTATAATGTTATATTAACTGAATTCAATATTTTATTTTTAAAGTGAATTATTCACGGGTCAAGATTTTGAAGAATTATTCTTAACAATTGCTTGAGATGCTTACTGTAAATGCTGTTTAATACCCATCTTTGTGAGTGTTAGTCCATGGCTCTTACCAATTGTCTTTGAAAAGGAGAAAAAGAAATATCCTCCTTATTTATCAGATTTAACTGAGGCACAGAGGTGAAATAACTTGTCCAAGGTTGGACAGCAGATCCCTAGCAGAGTTCAGATTAGACTCCAGCTCCTTCTAGATCTACAGCCAGTGACTTTTACACTGGAGCAAGTTTGTTCAAGTTATTTCAGTATTATTCCAAGACTGGAAAGCTTTAATGTTATGTACTCAGACACAGATACCACAAGTCATGTGACACACAAATGCAGTGTTGTGTACTGTATTGTATTAATCTCTTTGGGTTTTGTTTAACCACAGGGTATTCCGGAGAAACCACACAATGACTAACTCATTGGAGCAAAAGACATGGTGCCAGCGTGGAGGAAAGAAAAAGAAGATGCGTTCCTGTTTAGAACTGCGGATTATTTTTTTTCTAAATAATCTATGGGTTTACTGCACAAATGACTTGTGAAAAAATATTAATCTCACTTTTAGAATAGCCAAGTGAAATTAACTGCTTATCTTGAAATCTTTCCTTGATTTACTGCATAAGCATTTGCGCCTGACTGTTCTCTGGAAGAATGTAACACCACGTTTTATGCAGCAGTTCAGGCTACATGGCAGTTTTCCAAGTACTAGATTCCAATTTAAGTTATTAAAGCAGCTGCCATATTTCAAAGCCTTGAAACTAAAATTTAATTACAAGCTCTTGTACCAGTGCCCAAAGGAAGTAGATTGATGGTGCTTAACAAAGATGAAGTATGGTTTTAATAGGAATAGTATTTATCCAAATCTTTTTTAAAATAGGGTTGTTTAAAAATAGGGTTACTCAAAAATAAGTGATCAAAACAACAACATTTAAAAGCACTGTACTGAGTGCTTTTAGAAGCTTATATGAAGGAATCGTGACCTTATTTGTAATGCTGCATGAAGGTTTTGAAGTCACTTTGTTTAAAATCTCTAAATCACTTTAGAACAATAGGCAAACACTAGAGACAATCTCATTGAAATAAAAGAGTTTGAAATGGAGAGGGGAAGAAGGTGTTTTGATAATTTGCATTAAAGCTCATCTGAGTGCAGTATTCCTTTGCCTGTAATTTGCAATCACACTTACAGAAGGGGTCAAAATTCTGACCTCAGTTCTGTAAAGGTACTTGGGCATATGCCTAGGTTTTTAAGTGAGTATTGTTTAAATTTGGGCATATACTTTGGTATTTTAATAAATCAGAGCCCTTGAAATGCCAAGCATCTTCAGTAACCCTGAAATGAGTGGGAACTGCACATGCTTATTGTAATTTAACCTGGCCCTAACTCCCACTAATAGTCAGAGAGACTTATTTTCATTTGCTTGAAAGTGAAATGAGGCCCTGCAATGAGCATTATTTTGCTTCATTTTTAGTCAGACTTTTGACTGAATTCAGTGGAGTTAGAAGCAGGTCTGGAATGTAATAACTTGCTATATTACAAGTTAGCCAGAGTTACTAGCTTGACTTGCAGTTAGGTTTCTGACAAGAGATCACTGCTTTGTTTTTTTTACAACCCTATGGAATTTGCAATCTGTGATTGCCTTGTAAAAAGAAAAGTGATTATGTCACTACATTAAACATTCATTGTTTCTAAATATTTAGTTTTGGTGAGCACAATGTATTCATTTAATAGCTTAGACCACAATAGACCTAAATAGCAAGTATTAGGTCTTAAAATTAAAGTGCAATGTACAGTAAAATCTGAGCCTTGTATTCTCTTCAATAGTCACTGTTTCTTATGAGTGATTAAAGAGAAGAGGGTTCTAAGTTCATTTCAATGCTGCATGGAGTCAAAATGGAGCAATAATTTATTTAACTAGTAAAGGTAGTTTATTGTACCTTCTATTAAACCCACATTTTTAGAAATACTCCAATTTTGTGGTTATGGTGTACTTGTAAACTTTTATGAACTTGCCTTTTGTATTATGCAATTTTTTGTTCATTTCCGATTTCATGTGGTTTCAGATTTAGTCAGTAGCATCTCCTTGGAGGTTGTCCCATCAGACATTGAGAATAAATAGTAGTGTTTTGGGCTTCATTTCCTTTTTGAAGGAAATCCTATAAATACTTCTGGTTCAGACTTCTAAATCCTGAATTGATTTTTGTAAGGGGGTTGTGGGGAGCAACTTGAACAGCAGAGTTACCTTTACCTTACCACAGTGGCTAGCTTAAACTGAGCCCAATTCTGATCTCACTGGGCACATCTACACATGATGCCACAGCAATGTAGTGTTGGTGGTCACAAACTGATACCATAGTGATGCGCTCTCTGTTATAGTGTTGCTATGGCAACATAGTGCCTAAAAATAACTATGCCTGGTGCAGTATGGGGTGTTACTGCAATATCTCTTAGTACTTCCAAAAAGAAGTACTAAATGATGGCACAGAAACAACATTGCCATAGTGAAATGTGTAGACGTGCCCACTAAGTGTAAATATGGAATAACTGCATTGGTGAGAAGGCCTACTGCAAGTGTTTAGGGCTGGATCCTATTCCATCCCATTCTGCAGCATCCCTGAAAAGAAATGCTATGCCCCAAGTGTGTAAACACTACACAGCCACTGGGCTGTTGCCACAGTGTACAAGCAGCTGTGTGCTTCTGGTGATTCTGCATGGCTCCTCTACAGCAGCCCTGTGATCAGAGTGTGAAGTACACCCTGGAAGGGCACTAACTGCCAAGTAGGCTGTCATAGCTGGTTAAACATGAGAGTGGGTAATTCTGCTGGCAGAGTGGAGAGCTGTTGCCACAGAGGGGCTTCCAGTAGGCACCAGAGTTCTGCTTGTAAAACTTAGTGGTGCAGGCTGTGCCTTAGTCTTAAAGCTAAGGTGAAGGTTCAGTATACAAGTACATGTGTTCACAATTTTTCCCAGGACTTAATAAGAATGGAATAGGGTTGTACTGAGACAACCCAAATGCCCTTGGATGCCTAAAAGACGGAAAAGAGTCTGGCCCATGTTCTGTCATTAAGATTAGTGCGGTTATTCTGAGAAACTTGCATGCATACGTAAGTTCACAAGATCAGGATTGGACCAGTTTGTCTAGTAAAATGCCTAATATTAAAGTGGTTACCAGCATCAATTCCCACAAAATGCAATTCAAGATGACAATGAAGGGTAAATATACTAGATTTGAGAAAGTAAAAAGTATTCTAAAGTTTATTTTGAAAGACCTGAAACTAATTCTGTATGTATTAAAATAAAAAAAAAACGTAGCCAAAAATTACAAGTCAGAAGTTCGGTTTTGCCAATACTTGTAAGTATATGAACCAAAGTAATCAGTTAATAGAAGGGAAGGGGGGAATTTGCACTATTCTGGATTTGAACATTTAGATTCTCATTCTTACTGATGTTTTCAGCAGTGTGTTTTGGTTTTACTTTTTTTTTTTATTATTATTATTATTAAAGGTTGTAGACCAAATGTCTTGTTCTCTGGCTTTCCTTCAAGAGAGATTCTTGAATCTGGGGCAATGTTGGTGTGGTATTCAGTTATGCATTTGATTGGCAGAGAAGACTTGGAAAGCAACATCTAAAGTACAGCTTCTTAAAGTATCATTGAGGCATCCACCCATATTAAAAATAATTTCTACCTGATTATAGTGGAAGGTTTTGGCATACAGTCTTTCCTAACTTGTGTAAAAATCAGTAGGTTTTCCAACCTGTCTTGGCAGTTAACCTGTTTAGCTGGTTTGTGATTTGAGTCTTGAGCATTACTAAGAGGAGAAATCCATGTGTACATTCTTCATTTTCCTCTAGTATGCTATGATTCATGAACTAAAAACTTCAAATATTGGGGTTTTTTGTTTTTTGTTTTGTTTTTTTTTTTTAAACTTTTAGTTTTAAATCTTCCCCATTACACTGATAGGAGAGCTTCTTAGTACTTGGTTCTACAGAATAATCCGGCATATCGTAACAGCAAACTGACTTGCCTACAGTTTGCTCAAAACAGAGCTTATTGAAATAGTAAGGGTAGGAAAGTGTGACCTGGAGCTTGCAGGGGTTTAGCTTGTAGCCGTGTTGGTCTAAGGATATAGGCAGACAAGGTTCCTTGGGTGAATTTGATATCTTTTATTAGACCAACCCTTTTATCTTTTATTAGACCTGGAGTTTGGTCATTTACCCCACATCCATGGGCTAAGAAGACTGGGTAGGTCTTTCTGTAGGTCTATAGAAAAGTAGCTCTGTTGCCTTAACAGCAGGGCTGTCCAACAGGCAGCCTGCAACCCATGAGGGGTTAGCATGTGGCCCATGGACTGCCACCTGGCTGCTGTGGCCCCCATTGCTCCTGCTGCTGCAGAGGCCAGGGTCTCTGAGTTCCTCCTCCCTCATCTCATTGAAGAGTGTACAGAAGTTGCTTTTTCTCACCATTTAAAGGGCTTTGTTGTTATGACTTAACAGAAGTGCGCAGCTTTACAGCACTTTAAAAATGGGTACAGTACTTTAAATTAGCCCTTGTTAAATAAGGTATTAAATTTGATGCACTGTATTTTACAGTGCCTTAGCAGCCTACAGCACTTTAAATAACTTCTGTACACTGGTCAGAAAGTATGCTGTAAAGCATCTGCTGCCACCTATCTTGGAAAGTGCAGGGAGGCTCAGAGCCCACTCCTCCACCCCCACCAAACACTGCACTTCTGTCATGTTTTAGAAATGCTGTAACTTTATAGTGTATAAAAAGTGCGCTAAATTACAGTGCAATACAGTGTGCACAAAACGTTTCTGTACACACCCTTAGTTTCCTGCTTCCCCCCTGGCAGTGGGGCAGGGCAGTGGGAGGGGCTCCAAAGAGGTGGGGGGGCCACATGGTACCTGTGGTAGTGGGAGGAAGGACCAGGTTGCCTGCCCTGTCTGCATGGCATGCACAGCGGGAGAGCTAAGTTTGCCTGTGTGGCAGGGAGATGTGCTGCTTGTCCTGGCCAGACAGCATGTGGTGGCTGGGGGAGTCGAGCTACTGTTGCTGTGTGTAAGGGGCCAACCTGCCTGTGTGGCGTGGTGTCCTGTGAGCAGTGGGGGGTTGCGCTGGCCACAAGTTGACAGCCTTGCTTCACAGTATCATGTTAATGCATCTTGGGCCAGGGGTAAGGTACAGCTCAGGATCCTTGCCTAGATTACTGTCCTGTGGCATTGACAACATTGATTTTAGGCTTGTGACTTTGTCCTGTGCCAAACTATCACAGTATACAGGAGAAATCCTTCAAAACTGTGCAAAGGTTGCGTTTAAAGAGTTTATTCCAGACACCATGAACCCTCATTTTCAAAGATGTGCTCCCCAAAATGTTGTCTCGCATACATTTTTGAGAAGTTTAAGTATGTTACTGCAGCCCCAATCTTCCAGACTCCAGCTGCTTTCCCAGCCGTCCAAAATGGAAAAACCCACCTCAGTGCAACATGGGTGAGAAACTGTCTCTGGCAAATGCTTCTCCTCCATGTTCTCAAAGTGGAAGCTTTTATCATTGAATGTGCATAGTAACAAGAGGCTTTGTTTTTGTTTTTTTCCGATCCTAGTTTGGCCTTGCAAAGTCCTGTTTAGAGGAGGACCCAGCCTCGGGCACGGCCACTCAGAACACTTTCCATAGTGTTCAGCTGGGGCTGTCTGAAAGCTCTGTAGTGCATGGATTTGCCTATTTGCAGCCTGAGGGAAGGTCATACAACCTGTTCCCCTCTTCTTGGATTGCCTTACATAAAACAGAAAAGGCAGAGATCCATTTTTGTTTAAAGAACCAGTACAAAATAATCTACAAATACACTATGAAGATGGTAAAGAAAGGTTGAAACCTTAAATGGAAATGTTCAGCTGTGAGAAGCAGGATGACTTGGCCAACAAATGCATTAGAATGAACTATCCACTAGCCTACACCATCCTTGGTTAGAATTAGGGGAACTCGCAGGTGTTAAATTACTGACGCAGAATCACAGAAAAATGAGGGTTGGAAGGGACCTCAGGAGGACATCTAGTCCAACCCCCTGCTCAAGTAGGACCATTCCCAACTAGATCATCCCAGTCAAGGTTTTGTCTAGCCAGGTCTTAAAAACCTCCAAGGATTGAGCTTCCACCACCTCTTTGTGTAACTAGTTCCAGTGTTTTACTACCCTCCTATCTCTCCTCCAGGCTAAATAAGCCCAGTTCCCTCAGCCCCTCGTAAGTCATAAGCCCTAGCCCCTGAACCATTTTTGTTGCCCTCTGCTGGACTCTCTCCAATTTGTCCACATGCTTTCTGTAGTGGGGAGTCCAAAACTGGACACAGTACTGCAGATGTGGCTTCACCAGGGCAGAATAGAGGGGAATAATTACTTCCCTTGTCCTACTGGGAACATTCCTACCAATACAGCCTAATTTACCATTACCCTTCTTGGCAACAAGGGCACACTTTTGGCTCACTCAGCTTATTGTCCACTGTAATCCCCAGGTCATTTTCTGCAGAGCTGCAGCCCAGCCAGTCAGCCCCCAGCCTGTACTGGTGCATGGGATTGTTCTGTTCTCAGTGCAGGACTTTGCACTTGTCCTCGGCCCATTTTCTTTTGACCCAATCCTCCAATTGTCTAGATCACTCTGAATCCTAGCCCTGCCCTCCAGCATATCTATTAGTCCCCCCAGCTTGGTGTCATCTGCAGACTTGCTGAGGGTGCACTCTATGCCATCTTCCAGGTTGTTGATGAAGACATTGAACAAAACCGGCCTCAGGACTGACCCCTGGGGCACTCCACTTGATACTGGCTGCAAAGTAGACATTGAGCCATTAATTACTACCCTCCGAGCCCAATGTTCCAGCCAGTTTTCTATCTACCTTACAGTCCATTCATCTAGCCTATATTTCCTTAGCTTGCCTGCAAGAACATTGTTGGAGACCATATCAAAAGCCTTGCTAAAATCAAAGTACACCACATCCACTGGTCTCCCCGCATCCACAGAGCCAGTCATCCCATCATTGAAGGCAATCAGGCTGGTCAGGCATGACTTGTCCCTGGTGAATCCATACTGACTGCTCCTCTATGCGCTCTATGCCATCTTCCAGGTCGTTGATGAAAATATTGAACAAAACTGGCCCCAGGACTGAGCCCTGGGGCGCTCCACTTGATACTGGCTGCCAACTAGACATGGAGCCATTAATTGCCACCCTCTGAGCTTGATGCTCCAGCTAGTTTTCTGTCCGCCCTACAGTCCATTTATCCAGCCCGTACTTCCTTAACTTTCCTGCAAGAATGTTGTGGGAGATGGTATCAAAAGCCTTGCTAAAATCAACATACACTTCAAAACCACATGCACTGGTCTCCCCACATCCACAGAGCCAGCCATCTCATTGTAGAAGGCAATCATGTTGGTCAGGCATGACTTGCCCTTGGTGAATCCATGCTGACTGCTCCTAATCACCTTCTTCTCCAAGTGCTTAGAAATTGATTCCTTGAGGATCTGCTCCATGACTTTTTCCAGGAACTGAGGTGAAGTTGACTCGTCTGTAGTTTCCTGGACCCTCCCTTTTTCCCTTTCTTAAATATGGGCACTATGTTTGCCCTTTTCCAATAATCCAGGACCTCTTCTGATAGCCATGAGTTTTCAAAGATGATGGTCGGTGGCTCTGCAATCACATCAGCCAACTCCCTCAGCATCCTCGGGTGCATCCCATCCATCCCCGTGAGTTTGTATACCGTACAGATTTTCTAAATAGTCCCTAACATGTTCTTTCACCACTATTGAGTGCTCACTTCCTCCCCAAACTCTGCTGCCAGGTGCAGTAGTCTGGGAGCTGACCTTGCCTGTGAAGACTAAGGTGAAAAAGGTATTGAGCACTTCACCCTTTTCTGCATCCTGTCACAAGGTTGCCTCCCCCATTCAGTAAGGGACCCACACTTTCCCTGATCCTCCTCTTGTTACGGACATACTTGTAGAAACCCTTCTTGTTACCCTTCGCATCCCTTGCAAGCTGCAACTCCAATTGTGCTTTGGCCTTCCTGACTTCATCCCTGCATGTCCAAGCAGTAGTCTTATACCCCTCCTCAGTTGTTTGTCTAAGTTTCCACTTCTTATAAGCTTCCTTTTTGTGATTTAGTTTACTAAAGAGTCCCTTGCTAAACCAAACTGGTCTTCTGCCACACTTGCTATACATAGTCTTCCTGTGCATTGGGGTGGTTTGTTCCTGTGCTCTCAGTAAGGCTTCTTTAAAGTACAGCCAGCTCTCCTGGGCTCCTCTCCCCTTCAGTCTGGTTTCCCAGGGG